CACAGCTCCTCGTGTGTTTATACCATTCGTCCAGAAGCACTGGGAGCTGCAGCAAGACAACTGGCAGAATCATTGGCTCAGTTTTTCTAACGCTGCTTAGACCATAACCATGTTCTTGCTATGTGGAAGCTTGGAATAATAACTCCGATTCACAGAGGCGGAAGCAGAACTGAACCTTCAAACTTCTCCCTATACTGTCCAAGGTCATGGAATCCATTGTTGCCGATGCGCTGGTGTGTTATCTGGAAAACTGTAACATTATTACTCCCCAACAGCACGGCTTTCGTCGACTACGATCGTGCACAACGAATTCACTAATCGCACGGAGTAGTTAGACCGACTCAGCTGATGCTGGTGAAGACGTTGATGTGATCTACTTGGACTTCTCGAAGGCGTTCGATTGTCTAGATTATCGGATACTCCTTTCCCAGCTCCAGTATTACGGGATCAGTGACCTTCTATTAGGCTGGATCGTCATCTCTTTCAACGGCAGTGGTCAGAGTTCGAAGCTCCGTATCTGACCTCATACAAGTCGAATGTGGTGTGCCTCAGGACTCAGTTCCAGGTCCACGATTGCTTTTGGTATTTATTAATTACCTCGCACAAGCAATCGCCTCAAACTTCCTACTGTTTGCGGACGACATCAGGATTTGGCACAGGATTCAGGTGAACGCCGACCAGCATCTGTTTCAGAGTGCTCGGTGGTCAATCCAAAATTTACTACAATTCAACGTGATTGGTTGCAAGCTAGGCTGCATATGGTACCAGATCAACTACTCGTACCGGCTGGGAACGCATGTACTGCAACAATCTTCCGTCAGATGTGATCTGGGTATGCTGCTTAAAGATGACTTAGGTTGCTCCAGGCAATCCGAAATGGCCACGAAGGCCGGAAACCAACACGTCGGGCTGTTGCGAACGGTGTTCGGACAAATAAATACTATATTACGACAGATTCTTAGTGCATTTGTTCGTCTCCATGTGAAATACGCATTTCAAAACTGGGATCCATGGCTGAAACACGACATCTTAACGCATTGGAGCAGCATCAATGTTGTGCATCCAAGTGGGTCATTTGAATTTGCAATCTCCCATACGAGCAGAGGCTGAAACGATTGGGGGTATTCACTGGACAATACCGTAGATTACGAGGCAGTCTGGTAATGGCCAGCTTAATTCTACATAACCCACATTATGTGTGCCGCTCCTTACTGCAGCTCAGTGGCGATACAAACCTGAGAGGTCCCTTAATGAAACGCGCAGAATAGTTTACCCGTCTGGAGTGCCACAGGAATTTCCTTTCCATTCGTGTATGCCACCCGTAGAATTCTCTCCTTGAATCGGCCGTCCCTGCACCGGTACTGGCAATATTTAAAAGACGGTTGGATGACGCACTCATCCACTTGCACCTTGTTGCTTAGCATTATGTCTCCATTGTACTCCTGGGGTGTGGCTTGGATTTGTTTGCTGTTACCTGTGGGTGCTGTGAACCTACTAACCGGATTGCAGAACTACAAAGGAATAAACAATAAGTCCTTCCTTTTTCGATAATCCCATCGAACTACCCAACGGGACTTGTAAAGCAGTACTACTTAACCCGTATAAATTCATTGTTCATCATCGTCCTGCATTTTGATAGTTCGAAACTCTCTGTGTTTGATATTACAGAGGCTATAGCAGTAACATGTCCTCTGTCTAAAGGTCACAGAAGCTTCTATATACCCAAAGGCAGTCAGTTGGTGCCCCACCTGAACGTTACCGCAGTTCCAGTAGACGAAGAGAACGGTCTTCATTTTTTCCATTACATGCTTGAGAAAGAGCTATAGGAATGGTCACGAATTTCACTTTTGCCCCAGTGATCTCAAAGGGTTTGTTGCGGCCGCAGGATATGCAGCGAAGGATTCAAAATTTGACGATAATGCATTTCCTTTCCTGATGAGTTGTGCCTTAGATGGTTGTGCTCGGCCGCATCAAACGAGATATCCAAGTCGCACCTAGCAACTGCGGTCTGCCGGCCATTTGGGTGAATGATGTTGCCTTTAACATAAAGGAGCATCCACATGAGATTAATAAAGATATTCACCTCCCAGTGGTGACTACGCGTCCTTGAGTTTCGTTTTCGGTTCTTCGGACATCTAGAAGCCCGATCACCTTTATGCACACGCCTCGCCACGTAGTGCAAATCTGGACCATGTGCCGACAAGTTAATCTAAGTCCATTAGGACAACTTCAATGCAGTGAATAAGTTTGGGTGTTTTTTCATGTTGAAAAATTGGTGCCGACGCGACCAGTACAGAGCTAAAATATTAGCTGGTCGTTGAATGTCTTAACATCTGAATGAGCCGATGACGCTGGTTTGCTTTTCGAATTGATATACTTTTGTACGGAGACTTCGTCCTCAGACAAAATAACATCAATGCAGTTTATTGTGAAGTTTTGTCATCCTATCGTTAAATAGGTCCTGTCATTGATGAGACCAATCCCTCAATGCATCGGGTTGGCTTATCCCAAAGTTATGCTAGCGACAGACAATGTAATCAGTAAAGTCTACTTAACTTCTCAGCCCTGAGCAGCACTCTCATTCCTTAGTCGCTTCGATGTGTTCTGTTTGCAGTATTCTCTTCTGTATGCAAACCATATTAAGGCCATGTCTGTTTTTATTGGTGCCCGCTTACCGAACACCTAAATATACTGTGATCTCCCCAGCTCCGGTTTCCTGATCGAATGCTGCCTCTCCTTGCCTTCTCGTATATCCTATTTATTTCCCACCCTTTTCGAGTCCTATTGAAAGTTGGAGAAATAACACTGTTGGTTGCTGTTTTTGACCCGTCTAATTAGTGCTACCGCTTTTGTGACCTAGTCTGATGTGTTTGAGGGCCAATAGTCTTTCTTGCACTCACCCACACGATGATTGATCTCTTGGATTAACATAGATATCCGCTCATAATCAACATCGAGTGATCGCTTCGACCAAGAGTTAGTTCAATGTGAATAGCGATCTACATTGAGATTGCGCGTCGCAGTCCATTCACACAACGAGTATTGCGAAAATACCCTCCAATTAGTCATTAATCGTTGTGCCAAGCGTTGCCCGTCGTGACGTGGTAGCCAAACGGGTAGGCGTTTCGGCTAGTGTTCCAATGGCCTGCTTCTCCATCTGATGAAATCAAATGAGATCGAAACGCGTCGTGGTTTGCAGTGTTTTCGTGCAGGCAACACTCGATTTCCAACAATGAGTTTTATTTTGTGGCAACCAACTGGGGAGTTACGAATTTCATCGCGTCATCGTGGCACCATAACTGTTAGCAGTTTCATTTTTATCTATATCGTTGGCATCAATGGAATCAGTGGTCGAAACACCTACGCCTCCGTATAATTTTGATAGCCCAAAAAAGTTTACATTTAGTTGTCTCAACCGCCTTTATACTCTCAGAAAAGCGCATTTAGGTCCTGCAGCTTCGTCGGCTAGTGAAAACGCGATTACGATATGCAGCCGTAGCGCAGCACTTCAATTGCTTAGGCATAGGCCTCTCTGTTGTTTCTTGATTCTGGCGTGAACGTTACCTCGGTAACTATAAGTTATCCGGCCAACTTTTTTTACGTAATTGTGACGGTCCGAGGACGAATCGTCTCAGGACTATGGCTGGCATACATCTAAATGGAAACGACGTATTGCTGGGTCGCTTTCGTGCCACGGGCAACAATCGCGTGGGTTGTCCTTCCCACTTATCCTATACTTTGTGCCTGGACTATGAGTATTTCGACACTCACGTGTCATCACAAAAGACGTAAATACTTAGTCGTTGAATGTTCCCTGCTGCTACCCCCTTGTTTCGTTTCGGTACCGCTTCGACCGAATTTTGTCTTCTTTACCGAGTCAATCTGGCCGACATAGCTCTAGGGCGGATACATTAGCTGTTTCCAGCGTTCGCCATACTTCGATATAACCCCGGCAAGCTGATGTTTGTTGCGGCGAGATCCTGACAGACCAGTGACCCGATACTACCTTGATTTTGCTGTCCTCATGAGGACTGCTGGGTTGGATCCAGATCAAGTCTTTGTTGCTATCAGCCATCCTGTATCTGCGCTGATTGTTCGGTTCATGTCGTGTTTCTCGTCCTCTTTATAAGTACACTATATTGGGTGGCTACCTGGTGTCCAGGTCTTTTGTCATTTCAGGTATAGATGCCCTGTAAAATATTTCATACAACGTTCATAAACGACGAAAGGCTGCCTCATCTGCGCGCTGCAAGATGGATAACCAAAAGTGCAGCACACCTAGCGTACTATCATATGTTCTTTGAAGATCGGTTGCTGGAACCTGTACACACTCATGCATAGAACAACTATTAGATAACCCGACCACAGAGTTATCCGATGATGTGACTACCGAATGATCACCTTGGCTACAACACTTACTCATCCTTGTGATCGACGGGCTGTCTCATCAATTTGTGACCAATTTATCATACTATCCTTGTTGATTTCAACTACCTGTGGAGGTGTGCCCCGACTTATCCCTGTCCACGTTATTCAGTGAGATGTCAAGGTCAATGGTTTGCCGCTGGTAACAGTGGAATGAATTGCGACCAAATGTAGCTCAGTGAACAGAGAACATCTAACATAGACCGAATTTTCATAGACGAAGCCAAGTAGAGCAAGAGCGTATGATAGCTTCTATACTGGATACATGTTTGATCACTGTGAATTCCATCGTCGCAACATTTCAATCGACCGAGTTGTGCTACACCCTCGGCGTTTTGGTGGTCTGATACTGGCCATCCATGCAGTAGAACCACTTTGGTTTCCACTCTAAACTCACTGCAGTCCGTCGCCTAAGAGAACAAAATTAGTAAGCCTAGTAGTCTGTTTTTATGCAGCAAAGTTCAGGATTGAGCCATGTAAATAAAATTATTGTGGCCATCTTTGTCAAAAGTAGTTGGCTTCAAGTAATACTAGCCTCAACGACTTGGAAGTTAATTGAAACTAAAAATATTTACTTTGAGTTCTTCCTCACATTCCGAAATTCTTCTTTCCAGTTTCTGCAAAAAAGAGAAACGTCATTTTACCAATGTCATCTTAAAGTCATTAGGGGAGGCAATACGTAGTCGCATTGATATTCCGGTGGTTTAACAATTTCACTCAATCTGGAGGGGGTTGTCACCTGTTCCCAAGCGATTTCACTCCTATCTTACTTCGACCCGATAGGGCTCAGCTGTCTTATCAACACCAATTGACGAATGGCACTTCGATAAACGAACGGACATCATGATCAGAATGGATTTTGATCGAGGTCTAGTCTTCATTTTTTGATTTGCTGAGGAGCATTAGGACAGGGGAGTCATTTTTTTCACTAACATTTTACACACCAACCTGGTTCGTCTACCTTGTGTAGCGAACTAAACTGAACATAATAGATTAGTGATCGAGAAAACGTGAACTTACGCGTTGCTCGACATTGTTCGAGCGTCGGGTTTTCATTGCAGATTCAATCTGTCCTTGCAGATCACGCGTTTCTTTTTGCGCCAAAGCAATTTCTGCCCGAAGTGCATCGGTGGCTAGCTTCTCTGCCTCGTAGAGTCGTTTGTAATCCACCGAGCCAGCGGCTGCTGTGCTAAAGTCCTGTTTGACAGAGAGATGCGGAGTTAACTATGGTCGGACTGTGCCTTGCACGGTGGAGGAACATACAATTTATTTAATTATCCCCATTTATTTAGAATTTGTGGTCCCATTATCATCTGAAACGCCAAGCCTTAGGCACTAAATCTAAAAACAACCTGTGACGCTAGAGACCTAACAACCAGCAAAGATGAATGTGTTGATCAAGGCAGCCCACTCCTGCTTTCGCAATTATTCCATTGAGAGTGCAGAGTGCTGCTCTAGGTTATTGGGTCGTATACTGATAGAAACAATTTCCGGTATGTGCATCCACCTCACTTCTACGTTGAATACGTTAGTCACGATTGACAGAGCACAGTGTCATGCACTGTCGCACATTTCGTGAGAACTGAGAACTGGTGCGAAGCAGCGAGTAGAGGTTTCTCTGTGTAGCTGCATCATTCGTCGTTTTCGGACATGAACTCTTTATTCATCGTTTCGCTCTCTGTATTTTGCCTCTGCAAATTGTTGGTCTAGTAGCATCTTGAATTTAGACACTGTGTCCGCTTCTACTATATGCTGAGGCAGGTCGTTCCAGACATTTACCACTCTGCGTTCGAAACAGAGTTGATGGGCGACCCGCTTCAAATCCGGGACGATAAGATTATACCGGTGTCCTCGCGTGCAGCTTGGTGTGCGCAGATGAAACAGTCATGTGGATTAAATACCATTCAAATGGGTTTACGTGGTTTGAGGTATCTGGTATAATGGTGATAGCTAATAAACTAGAATGGACAACCGAAGCACAGCTCACGACTGATTGACCACCCGCACAGAAACCGCCGGTACATGCTAATGAGTGTCCTTTTGGTTTCCATTCGACAGGCTGCCAAGTCGAGTTGCATAGACATTGGATGCATTATGTAACCTACCTAAAATATCACATGAAGTGACAACGGTATAGGATCATGTTGGCGGAAAGCTTTGTTACATACTTTATCTTCTAGATAGCATTTCGTATTGGTATTAAATAGTTTTCTGATCCGCAAGCCATTCTGTGCTCTGCACCTTGGAGGACTCCGCCACGGGTACACATCCGTAAGACCGTTCTACAGGGTCGTTCAGAGTAGAGTCTGGTGAAACCGTTCCTTAGAAATAATCGAAACGCAGCTCCCATCCGCTACACTTGAACCCCCCTCGTCACACACCTGTACTATCGAATGACCATCGGAAATGACTTTTTTAATGCAAAATAAACCGATGTTTCAACGGCTCATACACTCACTCCACTAATTTCCTACAATATTTTACACAAGATAAGAGCAGGAAACAAATATGTACTCTTTCTAGTCCTTCACTTAGTAACGCCAAAGGTACTTTATACCTCTTTTTACGTCGGTGAATCCCAAGAGGCACAAAGTTTAATTTTCTGTTGCTATATTTTTTGAGCGCTGGACTTCAACAACTGAATTATGTCAACACACAACATAATGTGATTATCTACAACTCCGCAGTTTCAACACACAGAAGCCACACATCGATGTGGTGCATAACAAACGGACCATCATCCTTGCATGGTCTTCAGGGAACTCTTCTAAGCTACTTTCTGTAGAACTACCAACGTGAAATACCCTCACTGATTTCGTATAACATGGAGATGTAATCTGAAGGTACTTTAGTTAGTCACTTATCCATAACTTTTATCCATAGCTACTGATTCCATGACAGATCTTTTTTATTCGAATTTGGAAATGGTAGGAATCGTTTCACACTATCGGCTATCAGCGGCGCTTTGATCTTCGTTGTTGGCTAACTGAGTCACTTACAGCGAATAGTGTATACATTCATCAACTAATAGATGTATTCAAACCGCTCCAAAAAGTCAAAGTCGACGTCAGTCAAGAAAGGAATTACAACTTTTGGGAAAAGTGTATGGCTTAGGTAGCTGGGCAAATCGGAGCATTTAGCTGACTGGTTCTATTGGCTAAACCTGACGTCAAGACAAGTTCATCCAAAATGAGTGACTCAAAAATAACATCGTTCGTACTTGGGCTGAAGCCATAAACGGCTCACATTCTAGTCGACTTCTTAAAGTGACCAACTTCTCCGGCTGAGATTCCGAATAGAAGCGCGTAAGTCCTACATTCCTGTCCTTTTCGTGTTTCTGCTTCATACCGCGACCCGAAGGATAATTCGTATCCGTTGTATAACTTTGATCATAGCTCAACTGTAAACAATATATTCCTGACTTACAACTTCTCATCGTATGATAATATTTGTTTACACCTTTTTTTCAAATTGCCTGCTGGAGAAATTGCTGGCCAGACGTTCTGTCTTGTTCACGTCTTCTCTTCGCTCCCTCGGCACCCAATAGCGTGCTCTATTCGGGACGGGTGTTTACTAGTGCTATAATCATCCTTGACGAACATATGATCATCTCTCGGGCGCTATCATGAAACCGACGTTCTCTGTATATTTCGAAGGGTGATATTCGCCTTTTCCTTGAAATTTTATCACAACATGGGAAGGTAATCTGACTGTTTTCCATCTGGGATAACCTTATATTGGATAGTGCTCGAGAGAAGCGCTTTTAAGCGATTGCAGAACGTTGTTGCAAGTTACTGCTGTATTTATTCCTTCCATCTTGAAATCGAATCCTTAACTTGGACAGAAGTCCCGAAATTATTTGAATGATTTACCTGGAATCGAACTACAAGCCCTGAAATCGGAGACGCTTTACTTGGAATGCTGCTCTAGTTGAAAAGAGTTTGTTAGAAGGAAAGATCATGGTGTATTGGTCGCATATTCGTTAAACGTTACTATCAGGAGGCATGTCTTTATGTTGCAAATCAAATTACCAAACTCGACATTGGGTGTCTACAAACTCTCTGGAACTTATGGATGCTCGCTGACGTATTCCGGCTGGAAGCGAATACAATGAGACTCGGAAAATTCTCAGGGAAATACTGCGTGCTAGCCTAAATAATGACCGCGAAGCCTGGTGGTCTCATCGTGCATCGGAAATGGAAACAGCCGCTGACACTGGTAGTCATCGTAAGTTATTCCGTCTGATACGGGAAACAAACCACATGAGACCTGGTGTTAGCGAAACAATACACGACGAAAGTGGACAGCCGATCCACAACCTGTCAAAACGCTTGGAGCGTTGCGCCGAACACTGTGCAAGGCAGTTTAACCAGCTGAGTTACCGGATGGAAATTGCGTGTGTCCTCCACCCGAAAACACTGGTTGGGCAAAACCCAATTTCCATCTGCTTTGAGTACGGTCCCAGTGATTGCAGTGACTAAGGTTCACTTCAATGTGAACCACAGTCCACTACATTGAGATTGCACGTCGCAATCCAATCACACAACGTGTAGTCCAAACTTGACCTTCTAAGTGAGTTATCGCTTTCTCTTTCGGGCATTGAGTGTCCTTCTCAATGGGCCGCCTCCTTGGATCTCCCTTCACGCGCAAAAGTCGAACGTGAGATCAGACTGTTGAAATTGCATAAGGCCGCTGGTGCAGATAGAGTTCCCCCAGCTCTCTACAAATTCGGCGGGCCTGCTCTTGTGGATGATATACAAGAGTTGCCAATGGAACTTTTGGAGCAGGAAACTGGAGCCGCACTGTCATAGTCCCAATTTTCAAGGAAGGCTCCCGTTTGGAATGCAGCAACCATAGAGGGACCAGTCTGATCTCAATTACCTCTGAATTACTTACCTCTGTCGTTCTTCACAGACTGACTAGCGCTTGTGAAAGCCAGATCCACGAAGAGCAAGTCGGGTTTCGTCGAAATTAAGGCTTCATTGATCACATCTTCACTTTGCGTCAATTGTTGGAGCACCGCCATGTTTATTGGCGACCCACCATTGTTGTGTTTCTCGATATGAAAGGTGTATTCGATTCGTTGTATCGATATGCCCTTTGGGACTGTCTGCTGAGAAAAGGTGTGCCCGATAAATATGTAAACATTATCAAAGCGCTGTACGCGCATAGTTCGGGCAGAGTGAGGGTTTATGGCAAACTGCCGCGGCCCTTCAATATCTCCAGCGGTGTGAGACAAGGTTGCCCGCTGTCACCATTTCTCTTTAGCTTCGCTATTGATGAAGTCATGGAGATAACGTTCGCTTGACAAGACCTAGAAGGTATGGAGCTACTTTCTGGTGAACGACTTCTTGATTTGGAGTATGCGGACGACATTGCCCTCATATGTGACAGCGCCACAACGTGCCAGACTGCACTAGACCGATTAGCACTGGCTGTCAATCGTTTTGGGCTATGCCTTACTCCATTGAAATGCAAAGTTTTTCTTCAAAATTGGTAGGGACCCACTCCTGCGCTGACCCTTGGTGGGGATCAGCTAGAAGTCATTCAAGAATTCAAGTAGCTGGGCAGCTATATTAGCGCCTGTGGGATCGAAGCTGAGATTATGAACCGCATAGCAAAAGCTCGAGGTGCTTTTGCCAATCTCCGCCACCTGTGGCAGAGACGCGACGTCACTCTCTCTCTGTCTTTCTGAAGGGTAGGGTGTATAATGCAGCCGTCCGTTCAACTCTTATACGGTTGTGAAACCTGGCCCGACAGACATAAAGAGGCTGGGCACATCCGATCATTGCTGCCTTCGCAGCTTAGCTCACGTCTGGTGGGAGCACCGCGTGAGCAATGAACGTGTTCGGCGTCGCGTATTTGGTGCAGGAAGAGCGAGTGAACCGTTCAGCACCATTATATCACACACCAGGCTCCGATGGCTGGGCCACGTGTTGCGCATGCCAGCACACCGACTCCCGCGACATGCATTGTTTGCGGGCCGGGCGTGCGGTTGGAAGAGGAAGAGGGGAGACCAAGCAATGACTTGGTCAAGATAAATGAAAATCTTCACTTCGAAGTTGGTGTGGGTTGGTGCATCCCGACTGCCTGGCTGGGATCCTAAGGACGATGAACACGTTTGGTTGGACACACTTGCTGAAATGGCTAGGAGGCGCCCCCAGTGGCGTTTGTGTTGTGCGTCCCTTTGTCTATGC